GGGGGAGGAGGATGGGACATAGCAGAGGGTGGGGGATGGGGAATCAAGGATGGCAAAACAAAAGGCAAGGTATGCAGGACATAAGAATTGGAAAATTATTTGCTGAGAACATGTATGTTGATGTGCTTGATTGAGCCAATGCACAGGGTATTTTGGATGGAAAATTCATTTGTGTGTTGTGATGGTGTATAGTGAATTAATGTAGAAAATGAATAAATTTAAAAAAAATTTTAAAAAAAGAAGCTATATCCCACATGGCCTTCTGTCATGCAAATCCTGGTCCTGGAAGCTTGAAAAACACATTGGGTACATGTACACACATGCCCCAAAGCCTGATGAGTAGGAGGAATGGAATAAAGGGGGCTGCAACATGACCTTACCCCATTTGGAGGTGCTTTCTCTTCTTCTCTCTCTCTCTCTCTGGCAAGTGCAGGCAATAAAAAAATGTTTAAAAATAGTATAAAAATTAACTAAAAATTAACTCATTCACTAAAGTTGAGGCCTAATATGGCCTAGATTATTTGTACTGATTGCCATTATATCACTGATACCAACAATGATATAGGAATTATTAGTTTAGAGTTAGGTCTCCCCATTTAGATGACATATAGACTGAAATTACTCAATAGCAGAGAACATATATTATTTGCCACTGTATCTGCAACATAGATGTTAGAGTTATGTATAAAGACTTTAAATTAGTTATTATAAATATGTTCGAATGATTAGTGGAAATAATAACTAAATAATTATAGAGAAGTCTGCGAACAATGTTTCACCAAATAGAAAACATCAATAAAGAAGGGCAAATTTTCATGATCGAGGCTTAGGCGGTTTTATATGTATATGTATGTATGTGTACATATATATATATATGTATGTGTGTATGTATGTAGATATATATACACAAACACACACACATATATATGCACCAACAGTACAAGCAACCCCCCCTCAAATTGATAAATTAGACATCCTCAAAATGAAAAAGTCTTGCTTTGAAGGACACTATCAAGAAATTGAGAAGGCAATAATATCCAGACAGAAAGAAACATCACAACTCTACAAAAAAAGACAAACCAATTAAAACATGGCCAAAGAACCTGAATGGACATATTTCTAAAGATTGTATGCAAACATCCAATAAGTACATGAAAGGACACTCAACATAACTAAGCATTATGAAAATGGAAATAAAAAGCACATTGAGTTTACACTGTTAGAATGGCTAAAATAAAAAAGATGGACAATAGCAAGTGCTGAAAGAATGTGGAGAAATTAGAACCCTGTTCTTGGTGGATGGGGATGTAAAATGGTGCAATCACTGTGGAAATAGTTTGATAGTTTTTCAGAAAGATAAAGGTACAGTTATTACATGACCCAGAGCTTTTCATTCCTGGCTATGTACCCAAGAAAACTGAAATCATAAGTCCACACAAGAAAGTTGTACATAAATGTTTATAGCAGTATAATGCAAGAGAGTCAAAACTAAGGAACAACCCAAAGGTTTCAAAATGGATAAACAAAATTTCAGAATGTGTTATGTCCATATAGTGACATATTATTCAGTCAGAAAAAAATAAACTAAATCTTGGTTCATGCTATGGTATGGTGGAACCTTGAAAACATTGTACGACATAGAAGAAAAAAGTCACATAATCCATTTTTCCAGTTATGTGAAATGTCCAGAATAGGCACATGTATAGAGACAAAAAGTAAGTTGCAGTTGTAAGGGGTGAGGGGAGGGGAGGAATGGAAAGTAACTGCTAGTGGGTAATAAAAGTGCTTGGGAAATAGAAAGCAGTGATGGCTACACAATTCTGAATATATGCAAAAAAGCCACTTAATTGTACATCTTGAAGAGATTATTTTTTTTTTTCTGGTTTGTGAATTACATCTCGATTTTAAGAGAGAAAAAAAGTAACACAAAGGAGAAGAAATTATTTCCAATGCTTGATGTTCCAGCACATCTTGATTTTAAGAGAAAAAATAAGGCAAAGGAGAGGAGATTATTTTCAGCACCTGTATTCAAACAATGCTTTACAAGATAAGGGTGATTGTGGTAGCCCAAGTAAATGGAATAGAATCAACTCATGGGAGAATCTCTAATGTAGTAATATCAAATCCAATTGCGATAAAGTTTTCTTTAAGGAAAATAGCAAAAAGTGAGTTTGGTAAGGAGGAAGAGAGAAGTCAAAAATACCGGTAAAACCAAGAGTAGTTTACAAATGATTATGTGCAAGGATTTCTGAGAAAGATGAAGAAATCAAATATGCTCTGAATTTGGGACCAGCAGATGACATAATAATTATGTCGCTGAACTCCCACATAGCTGACCGTGGTTTGAATGCCAGACCTGGCAACTTAAAACATACCAGATGTGAGTGCGTGTATGTGCAAAATCCTGAGGGGAGAATGGAGAAGGAATTGCAGTGTGACCATCTCCCAGGGGATGATATCTTAGAACATGGGACATGTGTGCCACCAAGAGAAATAGCAAGTATAAAGGCAAGAGTTAATTTAGGAAGAAGATTATTCAGAACTCACTATCTTATGCTTAACAATTCAGTAGATTTTTTTTCCTATTACTTATTAGATAACTCACTACTAAGACACATCCAAAATAAGGGGGATAAATGACTCTCATGTAATTTATGTTTGCTGCTTATAAGTAGCTTCAAAAAATATTTGGAAGTCAGGATAATTAATGCTCGCTGCTGTCGTAGATAGACCTCATTATCTCAGCAGCTTAGCATTGTGAACCGCATTGCTCACCCACATCACAGTCCATGCAGTGGGTAGGCTGGAGTGTGGACGGCATGGAGATGTGAGTTCAGTGTTATGCAATCATTGAAAGAGAGAGGCTCCTTCCATGTGACTCTGCCATCTCTAGCATGAGGCTTAAAGACGATCTCCAGCCATTTACTAATAGACAGGACAGAAAGCACGGAGAATCATGAGGGAGGCGACGTGATGTGCAACACTTCTGCCCATGTTTCATTAACTACGATTTGGTCATAACCCATCTCATGCCACCCAATTCCAAAGATCAATGGGAGATGTTAATTTAATTCAATTAATAGAAACCAGTCTTAGCATCTTTTCTGTCCAAAAAGAGAAAGAGGATACAGCTCCCACTTAAATAACTGAAAATTCAGAATTAATCCTGAAATAATTCTTATTTTCCCTATTTTCAGTAGTCACAACTTTTAGAGAACTAAGACCAAAAATAATCACAGCAATCTCAATATAGAAAATTTCACAACCAGGAGGTTTATTAACTCAAAAAGTAACTTTATTGCAACCTTTCTAAAACTTAAACAAATATTCAGAAACTCCAATAAATAACTAGCATTCACTAGTCCTGGTTAGATAAGCAAAGTTGCCATGGTATTTGCAGGTTTAATTCATGCAACTTTCAACTGTAGAGGTTAAAAAAGCATTGCCTTTAAAAATACAAATTAAAAAAGAAATATTGCCTAATTATTGAATTTTTTATGAGTTCAGAGTAAATACAGTTACATTAATGCTCTGTAGGTTTTACATATTGTGAATAAAAGAAAAATTTTCCTAGCTATGGTAGCAGAAATCCTGCAATGAAGAAATTTCAGATATTAGAAAATGAACCCCTTCTAAAATTCTTTGATGAATTGTAGGTACTTTCACAGTTGGTCCAGTCGTGGCATGTCTACCTTTGTTACGAAACATCATCCCTGTGCTTCAGGCATTTAAAATTGATGTAATACTGCCTAGGTCCTTAATTCAAAAAATTTAAAAGGGTAAATAAATTCAATGTCCTGATCAAAATGTGTATCTAGTTCAGGAACATAGGGCAATGTACTTTCCGTTCCATTTTTACACACACACACACTCATCTCTTACTTTAAAAATCATAATAATAATTAAAAACAAAACAAAACAAAAAAAACACCTGGCTGCCTCAAGAATCTCCTCTAGGAATCAGTTGTTTTCCTTGAAAACTTGAAGAGGGAAATTTAGTCTCTCACGTCCCGCTTGCTTTCCAATTCCACAAGCCTGTGATTCTGAATCAGTGCTGCCCTGCAATTTGTGTCTGAAACATAAGCAGTGTCTCAGACTCCCTCTGCCCCAGGATTGGTCAGGAGGAGGCAGAGGAGGAGCCACTCTGAACATTTTCCCCCTCTAGACATCATTAAAATCAGCAGCTGGCACCCAGAGCGCCTAACCCTCAAAACAATGCTCAGACTGGGAACTGACACTGCTGAAAAGCAGCTGAAGCCAGCATGTGCGCAAAGATATGTCTCCCCGTGGCACAGCTGCTGCTCAGAAAATTATTCTTAAAAGACCTGAATGCATAAGCCTAAAGTTAAAGCGGGAGTGAGAACAAAACAGCCAACAGCAGATTCTTTCAACTGAGAACGAGCATTGGGAAGCCTTGAGATTTTAAAGTGATGGTGTTCAGAGCCGTACCTCAAAGACACTAAAAACTCCACTTGGAGCGCTGGAACTGGTGACATTTCCTCGCAGCAAGCATGCAATTATAGCCTCGTAACTTCCAGACAGAAAAAGGCTTGGAGAAAATAATTCTGTCAGTCCAGGGGGCATTGGAATCCACTCGCTGCATGATGAATGCCACCCACCACCGTGGGATGCACACTTCTCTCCACTTCTGGAACCGCAGCAGCTACGGGCTGCACAGCAATACCAGTGAGTCCCTCGGAAAAGGCTACTCTGACGGAGGGTGCTACGAGCAACTTTTTGTCTCTCCTGAGGTGTTTGTGACCCTGGGCGTCATAAGCCTGTTGGAGAATATTCTAGTGATTGTGGCAATAGCCAAGAACAAGAATCTGCATTCGCCCATGTACTTTTTCATCTGTAGCCTAGCTGTGGCTGATATGTTGGTGAGCGTTTCAAACGGATCGGAAACCATTGTCATCACTCTGTTAAACAGTACAGATACGGACGCACAGAGTTTCACGGTGAATATTGATAATGTCATTGACTCAGTGATCTGTAGCTCCTTGCTTGCATCGATTTGCAGCCTGCTTTCCATTGCTGTGGACAGGTATTTTACTATCTTTTATGCTCTCCAGTACCATAACATTATGACAGTTAAGCGGGTTGGGATCATCATAAGTTGCATCTGGGCGGCTTGCACCGTGTCGGGCATTTTGTTCATCATTTACTCAGATAGTAGCGCTGTGATCATCTGCCTCATCACCATGTTCTTCACCATGCTGGTTCTCATGGCTTCTCTCTATGTTCACATGTTCCTGATGGCCAGACTTCACATTAAGCGGATCGCTGTCCTCCCGGGCACCGGCACCATCCGCCAAGGCGCCAACATGAAGGGGGCGATTACTCTGACCATACTGATTGGGGTCTTTGTGGTTTGCTGGGCTCCATTCTTCCTCCACTTAATATTCTACATCTCTTGCCCCCAGAATCCATACTGTGTATGCTTCATGTCTCACTTTAACTTGTATCTCATACTGATCATGTGCAATTCAGTCATTGATCCTCTGATTTATGCACTCCGAAGCCCAGAACTGAGGAAAACCTTCAAAGAGATCATCTGTCGCTACCCCCTAGGAGGCCTCTGTGACTTGCCTAGCAGATACTAAGTGGGGACAGAAGAGACCTCATTTTTACACAGCCTTGACTGAGTACTTTTGCAACAACAGCTTTCTCTTCTGTGCAGGGCATTAACTGAGAAAATCCACTGTGTAAATTTAAGTTTATGATTTTTGACATGAAAACATGGCTAGTCTTTGGATTATTTCTAATGTCACACTGCTGTTTGGCTGTCAAATGTTAATCTACACTGCATATTGTGAGCACTATACATTTACCCAAAGAAAGTCTTTATTAAAAGCTGAACAATGTCTCTCTCTTGTTATTCACAAAAAAATTGACACATTGCTTGATTTCCTAATGTACATTAGAAAACAGAGTCTCATTAAAATAGATTCAAATACTTTCTTAAACACTACATTATACAACACTGAAACATAAGGATCTAATTCTATCATTTAAGGGGAAATTCTTAGAGAATCAGAAAATCTGAAATTTCCTGTGTATGAATTAAAAACAGTATTTCTTAGTTAGAACCAACACTGAAAAATTCAAGGGATTTTATAAAAGCTTGTTCCTTTTCCCTGTGCAGAAGTAAAAATGAAGAAGCTCCTCCTAAGAGAAAAAGAAAGCTACTGGAAAACAAAAAAGAAAAGAAAAGTGAGATCTTGAGTCAGAAAACTATGTGTGTTTTTGTAGCCACATAAACTATGTGTGTTTATCTACCCAAGCAGTGCATATTCTACCCAGGCAATTGGATTTGGGGGTTGGGGTGGGGGGGACCAGCTATGAAGAGTAAAGTGTTCTGGAAAACCTGCTAACACCTCTGGCTAGACTTCCTGATAACTAATTGTCCCACCGTCCTAAATAAAACAAAGAATGAAGTCTGTATGCTTCCTTAACGAGGGACCTAGTGTCTGCTGAAATGTCCGAAAAGTATTGCACTGAGATATCTGACTTCCACTCTCTGAAGAACTTTATGATTTATATTTAATTCTTTCCAATATCACATGAAATTTACTTGCTGTTTGTTTGTTGCTTATTATTTGAACTGAAGTGAAGGTGCCGATTATCAAGGATTTTAACTTTCAAAACCAAATCCATAGCAGAAGTGTTTCCAGGTAATATTTCCAAGTATCTGACATACGGGCACCTGTGACACTGGTACATTACCAGAAGGAAGGGGGCTGCCTACTAAACCCCAGAAGATATCATGAAATAAACTAGCTTCCTCAGCCACAACTTAGAGAGTAAATACTTTTTTATTTCTAATAATCTCACAGATACAGTATTGATAAGTACAACCTATACTTTCCAACCTGTGTGTACTTTAAAGACAGAAAGAATCTATTAAGCCGAGAATTACCAGTAAATTATCCTGTGATTCAATTTATAATGTCTTCAGATGCTCGTGGAAAGAGATAATATATGAAAGATGGAAATTATTTCAAGTCTAAAAGTTTTGTACATTGATTGTAAGACCTAAGGGACACTTGCAACCTTCCTATGAAAACATTATCTTAAAGTATAAGAAGAAGTCAAAGTTAGCAAAGGAAAAGTAACAGTGGCACTGATTCTTAATTCCACTGAAATGCCTCTATTTTAAAGCAAAAATAAGTGTAAGGATTTAAATGTAGACCAATTTCACAGTCAGAGCCCACAAGTATCAAGGAACATAGATGAGGTTTTTGTCATTGCCACCGTTCCTATGCATTCTTTCACGTAGTGATTCTCAGAAAACCCAGTGACTGGGTAGATGGAAAAGAGAGCTATCTATAGGCAAGCTACATCTTCCAGGGAATCTATCTTTCTAGTCTAGTCTTTCTCTTTTAAGGGTGATTTCAGATGCACAAAGGGAAATTGTGGCTCCTTCTTCATCAGGTTCATATTTGTCCCTGGAGCAGTTGCACTGTTAGGGTGTACATTGGTCATGAACCAGCTACGTACCACCAGTCTCCCCTCTGTGCCACAGCACAGTGCCATGCTCGTGTTTCCTATCCCCTATCCGACAAACCTTCTTCTATTATATTACCTCCTTTTACTCTAATAAAATCCAAATTCTCCCCCAAGTGACTGTGACTGCTAGAGTAAGTTTAGGAGAGATGATTACTTCAGGCAGGGAACTTCAAATACAGGAAGAGCAAAGAACTGAGTTTCATAGAACTGCCCGAGTACATTCATGGGGGCGGTGGCTCCCTTGTGCCCAGCATTAGCAACATGTTATTGGAACACAACTTTAAAAAGATCCAACTCTGGCATTCAGATCCCAGGTTGGCTCCCCAGGCCCTGGCTAGTTCCACAGGCAGTTTTAGTTCCCCTGCTGTTATATTTGTGTGCAGCCTGCTCCCCTGTTTGCATGTAAGCTCCTTGAAAATAAAAGTTTTATACTCTTATTTTTATTTCCTGGCATATTTCACATCTAAAATACATCCAAACAATCCAATAAAAATTGTAAATATTGTATTTTTCATTTCTGAAGGTGGTTTCCCAGATAGTCTCATTTGGGGTGTTCTTTTCTTTCTAATTGACACATAATATTTGTACATACTTAAGGGTGCAATATGATTTTTCAATACATGATTGCAAGGCGTAATGATTGAATGTGGGTAATAAGTACTATCAAGGATTTTAACTTTCAAAACCAAATCCATAGCACAAGTGTTTCCAGGTAATATTTGCAAATATCTGACATAGGGGCACCCATTGCCTCAGACGTTTATCATTACTTTGTGATGGAAACATTCGAGACCCTCTCTTCTAGCTACGTTGGAATACACAATAAATTGGACCAGCCAGCAGCATGACAGTTAAGGTGCTAGATCCCACATGGCTAACTGTGCGGTTTCAGCCCCAGACCCAATGGCTTGAAAAACACATGTGGTGTATGTGCATTTATGGCCAAAATCTCAAAAAGAGAAATGGACGACAAGGACTGTGCTGTGACAATATCTCTTGGGGGGGGGTGATTTCTCACTCTCCTCCTCTGTGTCTCTCTGTGGCAAGCACACAGGCCCTTTGGCATAATTTAGAAAAGATACACACACACATACACACACACACACACACACACACACACACACACACACATAATAAGTTATTGTTAACTATGGTTATCCTCCGGGGCTCTCAAATCCTAGAACTATCATTTCTTCTTAGTGAACTATAATTTTGCATCTATTACCCAACATCATCTCTCTGCCTCCTCCCTACTACCCTGCCCAACCTATAGTGATCAAACTTCTGCTCACTACTTCTATGACTGCCTTGGGCTAACTGTCTAATTCTCTGAGGGTAATGATGGCAGACTAGACTGAGAAGCTGCCTAGCAATCACGTCCTTGCCCCACCTTGACAGTCTTCAGGATAGGACAGTAGGAGTCACAGAGGTTCACCAGGGAAGGAGCTTAGGCTTACTTGGATCTCACACCAAAATGTAGTAAAGACAAATTCTGGTTGCCCTTCTGAAAACCCATGATGAATAAATACAAATATATGGAATCGGAGTGTGAATAAAGGAACACGCAAAGTCTGTGACACTGGAAGATCTTGGTTTTACTGGGGACAGTAGAAGTAATTACAAATTGTTTTCACTGTCCCAAGTATTGACTAGTCCAGTTGTGGTGTCAAGAGTTAGAGCTGTTGTGACTAAAGATACTGACTTCTCTAAAATTACACAAAGGACAACCACTCCTGCCCATCAAGTGTCTATTAAGGATAAATGGGCTATAACAAGTGGAAACAGTGCTGCTTTATGCTTGTGACACTCCCGTCTCCACCTCAGCGAAGTATCCCCTAAAAACTTGAGCTGTAGTAGCAGATGGCATTATGGTTACATTGTTGGACTCCCACATAGTCAATTGCAGTTTGAGTCCCAGATCCAGCAGCTTAAAACTCAAACTGCGCATATGTGCTTGCATGCCCAAAATCCCAAGGGGAGAATGGAGAAGAAAGGATTGTAGTGTGGTCATCCCCCCCCAGGGAGTGATTTCTCACTTTCTGTCTCTCCAGTAAGCTTTGTACCTTATAGAAAAAAATCTCTATGGAAAGGGAAAGAAAAAGAAAAAAAAAGATAAAGAAAAGAAACTGAGCTCTAGGGGCCAGCAGATAGTGTGGTGGTAAAGGTGCTGGACACAGACATGGATGACCATGATTCAAGTTCTGGACTTGGTGACTTGAAAATCACCAGTGGTTTGAAAATCACACTGGGCTTGTGCGTGTGTGCCCTAAATCCCAGAAGGATGAAGGTGAAGGGACTGTGGCATGGTCATCTACCCTGGGGGCTGATTTCTCACTTTCTCTCCCACTGTCTCTCTCTCTCTCTCTCTCTAGTGAGTGCACATATTCTATGGAGAAAAAGAAAAAAAAAGAAAAAGAAAAAGAAAGTTGAGCTGTAACACATGGCCTAGCTTACACACCCCAAAGCCCCAAACCATTTCTCTCTCTTACTAAGGTTCATGAGCTGACATCTTGTCACCTTTCAGCCAACAAGAGTGCCCAGACATTACGGTTTAAAAGAAAGAGATAGAGCCAAGAAATGGAGAAAAAAAAGACCATGCTTACTAGGCTTGAGATCAGCTTTCCACTTCAGCCTAATGGAGGAGTAGATAGGTTAAAAAAAAAAAAAAAAAGGAGGAGTAGAAAGGTTAAAAAAAAAAAAAAAAAGATGTCATAAAACGTGTGCCCATGAGCAGGAAACTCAAACTCAACCTTCTGGTGGCTGAAGAATTTCTACATGAGACTTAGAAAGAAATATGATTCAAGAAAATTGCAAGGGACTTAGAGACTTCTGCATTGCAGTCACCATCTTTTATGTGGGTTCCATGTCTTCTTAAAATGTGTTTGGAGGGACATTTGAAGACTGTATCTTGTAATTAATGATCTTGGGCATCACAGGTGTCCTAGAATCTATTCCATCAGACAATTTTTTCTCTTTGGGTATATGAGAAGACAGCATAGGCAGAAAAGAGCTTGTGAATAATATAGTCTTGTCCATCATTTTTGTGTGTGTTATTCCATTAATTGGATGTTATTCTTACAGGTTTTTTTTAAATTGTAGATTGTTTTGCCCTTTAATATTTCTCTTACTGATCTGGAGAGCAACATCATTATATATGATATGTGTTCTCGGTTAATGTCTCTCAGCTGATTTCTCCTAATTCTTTTTTTTTTTTTCACTCACTATATCTTTTTATTTGTTTATTTGGTTTGGTTTTGTTTTTCTTTTTGTTTTTGTCATAGGGCAAGTGTGCTCATCAGACA